CCAGGGGAGCCGTCTGGTCTTTGGGTCTTCACGCTTTCATCATTAGCACCAACGTCATCTTTTCTTTCATAGGCGACAATGATCATTTCATCCCTCAGAGTCTGGTTAACAGCTTCCTGCGTCTGCCAGCAGAGCGGCCCAGCGGCGGCCTTCCATTCCAGGCACTGCGGCGGAGACAGAAGGAAGTCTGGAGGAGCAGGGCAGCCCCGGGTTCCGGCTTGCTCCCCTGGAAGCTGGAGGAGGACAGGACGTGCGTGCCCCTCCTCCCCTTCTAATCATCGTCCGGTTCTTCACAAGTCACGTTTCAGATGACAAAGCCACTCTTCTGGCTTCTTCCTCTGCCCCCCTAAACTTTGAGAAAGGAATGGGGTACAAGGATGGAGGTACGTGTTTCCACCGAAACCAGCAGGCCTGGGGTCCCCTCTTACCTGTGGTGTGGTTACCCCATTTCCTAGCCCCTCCACCCCCACCCCATGCAACCTCTCCCCGCAGTGTCCCGCACTGGCAACGCTGAGGGCGGACGCAGGCCAAGCGCTGGGTCATCTGAGAACAGAGCTGACGAAGGGCGTCACAAGACGGGGGGGGGGGGGCAGCAGGCTCTGCACCTCAGCACCAATCTGGGGGTCTCTGTGGGGACGAAAGCAGGCCTGGTTCATTTCTTGGCACCTGGAATGGCGGGGATCTGGACAAGGAATCCCTGAGCCCCTGGGCTGGCCCTGACGGGGTCACACGAGACTCCAGACGTGGAAGCGGCCAGCTGGCCGCTGCGAGTGAAAGCAGCCGGACGGCGCACCCGGGGCTCCCCGCTCGCTCGTGGCGGGGCTCACAGCGCCTCCTATTTCTGCATCAAGTTCCTACAGAGAAGCTGGCGCCCACTTCCTGGAGTCACCGCCCCCCAGCAGTGCTGAAGGAGGAATTCACTTGTCAGAGCCTCGAAGGCCCCCATCCCTGGCTGAGGCCCTGAACAGGGAAAGAAGGTGGGGGGGGAGGGGGCGTGGCATATGTACAGAGAGAAAAACGTAGAAATAACAGTAACAAAAAAACAACTTTGCAAGACGGGGTCAGTCCTTCCCGACGTCCTTCCAGCTCTGCAGCGCATTCCTGCTGCCCGGGCGCCGAGGGCAGCCCAGCCTCACCTGGGGCCCGCCCGGTCCCTGTTTTCTCGGTTCAAGGCCAGGTTGTGCAGGAAGAGGAGGACCTGCCCCCAAGCTCGGTCCCGGTGCTGCTGGTGCTGGAAGGGAAAGAGAGACATGGCCGCTGCCTGTTCATACAAGCAGCCCTGGCCCTTGCGGGGGGGGGGGGGTGATGGGGAGGGAGGAGGAGGGGCACACAGAAAAACAAAAAACAATTGCAGTTTTCACACAAAAAAAGAAAAGCCCAGCTTCTATGTGCATTGTGCAGAAAAGGATCAGCCTCCCCCCCACCCTCCCAGGATTGTCCAGAGTTTAACCAAGTGCTGCTTTTAATCAGATTGGCTCCTGAGCCCCCAGACCTCAGCTGCGTGAACAACGAACTTGCTTCAGAAAGAAAAGAAAAGCCTCCCCCCCCCCACCTCCCCTCCAAAGGAACACAGAGAACAAGGGGGGGGGTGCTCCATCTGCAAGTGATTTGACACTGTAAAGGTCAAAGGGTTAATCTTCAATTTAAACCACACTGCTGAGGCAGCAAAAGTCTGATTTCATCCAGCGCAAACACACACACGCGCGCACACACACACATGCACACTCCCACATGTGTGTGCGTGCATGCGTGCGCATACACACACACACACACACACACGGGGTACACCCCCTCCCCTCAGCATCCCGAGGCTCAGGGCTGCCCTTTTTATAGCTGCTCTTGACAGTAAACCATAAATAATCGCTCTTGGAGCGCTTTCCTACCGACTGGAGCCAATTAAACGTTAAGCAAGAACATACTTGAAAACAAAACAAAAACAAAGAATGCACACCACGCTCTGCTCGGGGGTCACACCAGGTCCCGCTGTCAGAATAGAAAGCCGGGGAGGGGGGGCGGTAAAGTTCAGAGTTCAGCCACTCTCAGGTTGGACCTGGGGGCCTGCCCAAACAGTTACCTTTTCCCCCAGAGGCCCAGAGGGGACTGGGGGTGCTAGAAGTGGGGGGGGTCATGGTGGTCTCCCACCTGGCTCTGCCAGGGGGAAGCTGGGGAGGGGGGCCTCTCCGCAGGGTTCTGGGTGGACAGATGGACATGGATTTCTTCAGTGGTCTGCTCAGCGAGCAAGTGTGCATGCATCCAGCGTCCAAGGGAGCTGGAGTCCATTTGCTTTTAATATCAAAACGACAGCCATCGGCCCCAGCTGGTTAGCTCTGAGTCACGGGCGAAAAGCAGAAGAAACCAGGGGGACAGTTGGACTTGGAACCCAGGTGTCCTGGACCCCCACAGCTGCTCCAGCCTCCCTGAATTTTCTCCCTGCTCCCAGCACTCAGGCACAGAGAAGTGGGGTGTCCTTCAGGCTGACCCCCAAACTCTGACAGGTGAACACCAGGCACCACAGCCAATACGGCCAGCACCCCTCCCCCCCTCTCCTCAGAAGCCACTGGAAACTGCTCAGCAAGACTGGAGAGAGGGGAGAGGAGCTGGGTGTGCCCCGGGCCGGGCCGGGCAGCCGCAGCCGGCGCTGGGGAGACCCACCGCTCCCTCGTGCTGTGTAAACAAACATGAGTAAAAAGAGCGAACACACCCGGCTTCCCAAAACCTGGTTAGAGAACAACATGAAAACGGCACGCAGGGGCGGCCGGACAGAGGACGGAGGACGGAGGAGCGCTCGGCCCGCCTCCCCTCTGCAGCTGCTGCTCCAGCAGAAAGTCACGGGCAGGACACCAAGAAAACACCTGTGGCTGGAGAGGCCGGCGTGGAGGCGCGCCACGGCCGCTCAGGCGCCTTCTGATTCCAGCCACGGTTGGAGCATGTGCCTGGCTCTGTGCCAGTCCTTCTCAACGTGGCTCCTCCCCCCGCACCCCCCACCCCTCACTAGAAATGCGGACCCCTTCATTCGCCGGGGCCTTGAGGTGTGCTGTCCTGTAAGGTGTACCCCTCTGCACAGTGCTCACCTCTGGTCATCCCAGAGCCCAGTGAAGTGTGTGTCTATGACCGTGTCCATTGTAGATGAGCTAACTTAACAGTCAGGTAACTTAGCCACCACGTAATAAATGGCAAGGACTGGATTAAATCCAGATCATCTGGTCCTAGAACGATCAACATTCTACCTATCACCATAGGCTTCAAATGCCAACATCCATCTGCCTCCATCTTTTCTTTTCTTCCCTCTCTCCCTCCCTCCTTCCCTCTTTCCTTCCTTCCTTCCTTCCTTCTTTCTGTGGTACCTGAGATTAAACTCAGGACCTCCTTCCACCTGAGCCATGCCTCCAGTTCCTTTTAGTCTGTTTTTTTGGATAGGGTCTCATGCTTTTCACCCAGCTGGCCACCAGCCAATACCCATCTTTATAGCAAATTAGATCCTCTCTCCTTTCCTTCACCAAATCATCTCAAAACAGTCAGGCTAATGATTTGGGGGCCAGAGCCAATCCTTTTTTTCTTTTTGGGTCCGGTCGTGGGCCTGACTCTGGGCCTGGGCGCTGTCCCTCAGCTCTTCAGCTCAAGGCTAGTGCTCTACCACTTGAGCCACAGCGCCACTTCCGGCTTTTTTTTTTTTCTGCTTATGTGGTGCTGAGGAATGGAACCCAGGGCCTCAGGCATGCAAGGCAAGCGCTCTGCCACTGAGCCACCTTCCCAGCCCGCCAATCCTATTTCTGTATGCCTCAGTTTCTTCTACAGCCTACTAGGAGATACAACCTGATACCTAGGTAACTCCCTGGGTCCTGAGGTCTCTGAGGACCAGTATCCCATCTTTTAAGGGCGTTTGGGAACCCAGAAACAACTCTTGGCCAGCGAATGCTCGCACAGATGGCCGCAGGTTGGCGGGAGGCAGTGCGCACAGGTCAGCCTTGGGAGGAAGCCGGTCCCGTGCTCTGCCCGCGATGGTCCTGGGGCTCATCACACCCAGCGTGATGATCGGGAGTCCCGAGGCCTGGCTTTCGAAGCTACATCTCCCGCTGTCCCCATTGACTTATAAGGACAATGCAGGTGTTGTATTTGGCCTGTGGTTTCTAAACCCAAGTGTGTCACAAAACCAGCGGAGGGGCAGCCCCTTGGCCAGCGGGGTCGGAAACTGCGCAGAATGAACGGTGAGAAGGCACGATCCCCCGGGCCCACTCGTTGCCCCCCTCAGATCACCAAAGCAACGCCTGGCACTGCAGCCAGGCCGGGGACAGATCCCACTGCGGGGTCTGCGCTGCAGCCGGGCCCCACACCGCCTCGTGGAAACCCCAGGAGTGCTTTCCACCCCCAAGATCACAGCCCAGCGCTCCAACCTCTGAGAGCCGTCGGCCGGGCGGGCCTGGGTGGGCCTGGAGCCCTGCAAGCCCAGGCTGGCAGCCCACGGCGGGCCCCGGACTCTCCCCGGGCACAAGCAGAGCCCCTCACTCCGCACTGAGCCCTCGGCAGCCCCAGAAGAGCCTCACACCAACAGAGTCCAAGAACACCCTGATCACAAGGAATGACAATGAAGAAGATATCTTTTTAAAGTTAAAAGGGACTGTCAAGAAAGGGAAGGAAAAGGATGTGGAGGAGGCAAGAGAGAGAGAGAGAGAAAAGAGGGAGGAAATCCACCTTCAGTGAGTAGGATGGGAGACACAAAGACACCAAGGCAGAGAGCTTGGGTCTTTCCGTGGGAGGGCGTGGAGGAGGAGCAAGAAAGAAAGGGGAATCAGAAAGCGCATGCCCAGCCTCCGCTCTCAGGTACGTGGCTCAGTGCCCAGCACACCGTCCAGGTCACTGAAGGCAAACCCTTGGAGCAAGGCCTAGCTCCTCCAGACCCAGCATGAATGCCCCTTGGCAGGGGCGGAGGTGGGATGGGAGGACAGAGGTAGGGAGCTAAAAAACCCCACTCTGGAGTCCCCAGACTCACAGAGCCGTGGACTCAGAAACAGAGGGAACGCATAGAAAGTGCCCAAGGCAGGAGCCCTAACGGCAGAAATGAAGCATCTGCAGAGGCTGGGTTGGTGCCAGCAGCAACAGAGCCGCCCCAATCCTCCCTCCAGCCTCTCTTTCCCGCCGTGGTTAGGGGAGACAGGTGCGCCGGACAGGTGTTTAAATCCCCACTGTGCGCAGGGGGCTCTGAATGCTTGGCCAGTCATCTGATACAGATGAGAGTGGAGAGGACACAGTCGGTGGCCACCGGGGCATGTGTGGCTGACTGAAGACCAGGCAGCCCTGTGCCACGACCCACTTGTCCAGGGCCAAGAGCAGCTGAGATCTGGCCAGGCTGCAGGATGTCCTGTATGCAACAGGCCAACTCCTAAGAGGCTTTCGTAATCCAAGAGCAGGCTGTGGGATGCAGTGCACTTGGGTTACACGAAGCAAACCGTCTCATCCCACTCGGTCTGCAGGAAGGAGACGTGCTCTTTCGGCTCTCTCTGGGTAAGGATCGCCCTCCTCCTCCTCCTGTTCTAATGTAATTCCCACCATCTCAGGAGGCTCCACGAATCTGGTCCCTCACAGAGCTAAATCACACACACACACTCTCTCTCTCTCTCTCCTTCTCTCTCCTAGGAGGTCTCAAAGCCAAGCTGCCTGCGACTTTACAAGGACCTAACCCTCAAGACGCAAACTTACCACAAAGAGCCAGGACACAAAAGGAGCTGGAATCCCCACTGCTATTTTCTAGATAGAGAAGCAAGAACTGAGAGAGAGAGGGGGGGTGTCACCCCAAGCCAATTACGTGAGTTGTTTAAACCCGTGACTTCTGACTGCAAAGCTATGTTCTTGCTCTGAAATATTACAGCATGTTCAGTCACCTTATGGAAATAATGTTAACTTTGCAATGAGAATCGCCACTGAGCTGCCCCCCTAGGATGTTTAAGGACATTGTTTCCAGATCATTAACTATTTAGAAAGGATGCTGTGGACCAGAAAAAAAAAATAAAACCTTCCAGAGACAGAGCTAACTAAAGATCAAACAGAAATAAAAGCTAACACTAGGCTGAAATTAGAACTTCAGATCATGCTCTGAGACCAATCTCCCTCGCTTTAAAATGCAGTATTGTACCTACTCTGCTTTAAAGGGGGGGGAGGGAGATCCCCGCTCTATAAAGTGAAGTTTTCCAACCATTAGGTCTTCTCCTCCCCCTCATACTCTAAAAACTGAACGAGAAAGCAGAGACATGAAGATGAGGGCGATCTTCGGAAAATTCCACTCAGGACAAGTTTGGGAAGATGTTTTTGCTCGAGCCAGCAAGCTTTTTTATCAAGCATCCGGCTGAACCAAGATGCAAAAATGACCTACATTGAAACCTCTACAGTTTGCAGTCCAATGGGAAGGGAAGCCAGAACACAGCACTAAGTATGGTCTGAGGAGGAAGGGATGAAGGCAATCAATGCGAGCCCCTTGGACCCTTGTCTTGTGTGTGCGTCTGCGGAGCAGCAGGCTGTGGGAAGGCGGGAGGGTCATGGGTTCAGAATCCATCTACTCTCTGCACTACAGTGTGGCTCGGACAGGCCTCTGGGCTCCTGTGCACCCCTCATTTCCCGCAAAGTGAGAAGCAAGGGGTCTAGAAGCCGGAGACAGCTCCGGGAGTCAGTGCACCGGGGATGGCGCCGATCCGAAGAGCTGTGAGCCACTTCCCCCCTTTCCACGGACTCACTCTGTGGGGAGCCGGTTTCTGAAGCCCTGGGGACGTACCAGACTGGCCACTTGGAGACTGGTCACCATAGCCAGAGACACCGGCACTGCCAAGGTGTGGACCAAGGACCCCCGTCCCCAGCCTTCTTCTGACGCAGACGCCTGGCTACCCAGCCATGGGGCAAAGTGGCAAAGGAAATATTCCAGGAGGATTTCCCTCGGCCCAGGCAGTGGGGCTCACCCATGTCCACGCCACCACGGCAAAGCCAATGGCTTCTCGGAGGAAGAAGAGCAGCCCAGGGCAGCAGCTGCAGTTGAAGGCAGCGTGGAGTTCAGTTCCTCTGACACACTGCATCCAGACGCTGGGGGCTGAGGACGGGGCTGGGCCAGTCTTCCCACTGCCACAGCCCAGAGGTGGAAAGCCCTGAGCCTTCTACCCACACCTTCAGGGTACGATTCTGTATTTCCGTTTCCTTCCATCCCAGATCAGCGCCACAAGACTGCTGGGGAGAGCTCAGGTCAATGTGGGTGGGGGTGGAGGAGGACCAGGCCTACTGTGGGACTGCAAGGCTGCAGAGAAGGAACCCCCAGGCTCTAGCGTGGGGCCTTGCAGGCTGCTGTCTGCGCGTGCCCTGTCGGGAGCTGGTCTGCTAGGCAGGAGAAGGCAGACTGGGCAGGATAAAGGTTGGACTGTTCTGTCAGCACAAGGCAGACCGGTATTGTTCTGGTCATGGGACATGTCCGCTTAGCTGCCCAATGTGGACTGAAAGGCAAGGCAGGGGAGGCCAGCGCTGGTGGCTCACGCCTGTCATCCTAGCCACTCAGGAGGCTGAGATCTGAGGATCGTGGTTCAAAGCCAGCCCAGGAAGGAAAGTCACAGTCAGTGAGACTCATCTCAAGTTAACCACCAAAAAGCCAGATGTGGCTTAAGTGGTAGAGTGCTACCCTAAAGTTTAAAAAAAAACAAAAAACTCAGAAACAGTGCCCAGTCCAGCGTTCAAGCCCCAGGACCACACAGCTACAACACACACACACACACACACACACACCACAAAACAGGCATTTTTCTTTATTCTTCTTTGTGCCTCTTTTAAAGAGTCCCTGCTCGTCACCTCTCCCCCCACCAAAACAAAAACAAAAAAACCCCACACCAAAACCAACTCCCGTCCCATTCCCATAGCCTGCCCTGGTGGGGCAGGAAGAATGAAGGGTCCGGAAGTCCAAGGCCCTTCTCCTAGAAGAGCGCAAGCAGTCAGGTGCGGCTGTGGGGCACTCGGCCTCTAGTCTGCCACGCTGATGACTCAGAAGCTAAATATAGCGAGTGATATAAACAGAGCCAGCCACAGAGCAAACACAGGGCCCCGGAGCCCCAGCACTGGCTCTCACGCACGCGGGCTCTACAGCCCCTCCTCCTCCTCCTCCTCCTCCTCCTCCTCCTCCTCCTCCTCGGCACTGTCCTGAGTGGATCCACCACTCCTGCCCCACAGGCTGGCTGCCTAGGGGCCCTCACACTCTGGGCCCCCATCCCAACCCCCCACAAGGGGTCATTCCCGTCTAGAGGCTGTGTGACCTCATTAGGCATGGTCTGAGCTCCAGAAAACGACTCGCCAACATGGACAGCCTCCAAAGGGGTCAGGAAGCAGTCAGGGCGCCCTGAACAAAGGATCGGGACTGCCGGGCAGAGAAACTGCTAGTTAATAAACCGTGCAAACACAACTTTGGTACAACTTCCAACGGAGCTCCCCAAGAGCTATAAAACCAGGTCCAAGAGAAATCGCAAACTCATCTCCGAACATATTCCCAGAAGCGTCCAACTTCCCGTGCAGTTAAACACAACAGTGATTCTGTATGTTTGTTTGTTTGTATGCTGGGGATCAAACTCAGGGCCTCCACAGGCCAGGTAAGGGTGCTACCACTGAGCTACACCCCCAATCCAGCCCAATAACTGTATTATAACTGGCACCTCTGCCACACAAGCCCTGAAACACCGGGCTTGCAGGGCCATGGCTCGCCAGTAAGCACAGACGTTGAAGTGGCTCAGCTGGGTTTTTTTGAACCCAGATCTTCCCGCAAGCCCAGCATCCGTCCTGTCAAAACTAAAGAGGATTTCAACTGAGTGACTACGAGGAAAAACCATTTCCAACATCAAGAATCCTGGGCTGGAGGCATGACTCAATGGTAGAGCACCTGTCTAGCGAGTGGTAAAGCCCTGACTTCAAACCCTGGTAGTAGCGCTTGGCTTGTGTTTTGGTGATACTAGGGATTGAAGTCAGCGGCTTCTGCTATCTAGACAAGTGCCCTATGCCCTGAGCCAGGTGCCTAACCTTTTCTTTTCTTTTTGGCAGTCGTGGGGCTTGAACTCTGGGCCTGGGCGCTGTCCCTCCGTTCTTCAGCTCAAGGTTGGCACTCTACCACTTGAGCCACAGCACCACTTCCAGTTTTCTGGCGGGTTTTATTAGAGATAAGAGTCTCATGGTCTTTCCTGCCTGGGCTGGCTTTGAAACACGATTCTCAGATCTCAGCCTCCAGGGTAGATAGGATTACAGGTGTGAGCCACCAGTGCCCGGCTCTAGCCTTTTCTTGTCTTGGTTCTTTTTCACATAGGGTCTCCATGTATCCCCAGATGCATGTGGACTCGACCTGCCTGTTTATGCTTCCCATGTAGTGAGGATGGCAGGCACGTGCTTCGGTGCCCGGTTACTGACCGAGACGGAGGAGTCTCTGGGATGCCTGGGTTGGCGTCAGACTGCCATCCCCCGTATCTCTGGAGTCCTAAGCAGCTAGCCTTGCAGGCATGGGCCACTGGCAGCTACTTTTTGAGGATTGGGGCATTTGGTTCTGTTGCACAGAGCGTCACTATGTAGTCCAGGCTGAATCCCAAGTACTAGTGTGTGCCACCACACCGAGCAGATGCTTAGATTCTTAGCATTGCCTAGCAATGCCCCCACAACTTCCCAAACGGGCCGTGGGACCAGAGCGGTTCCTAAGGGAGGGGAAAGCAGCCACCCCATTCCCAGAGCCAGCTCTGGAGGAGACCCCACGGAGAGAATGAGCAGAAATGGAGGCTCGGACCTTCCAGGAACAACGGCAGCTCCCGAGTCCAGTTAGGAAGCTACTTTGTACCTCCCTCCCCCACACGGAACTTAGCGCTCCCAGAACCCAGTCCAAGCACCCCACAGACAACGGACCTTCTGGGATCCCTGCTTCAGCCTGTCACCCAAAAGGAACGGGGGAGGAACACTCCTGTCCCCGCAGGAGGCGCGGCACGTGTCCACGTTTGGGAAAGCTTCCTTACACGAGGCATGGTGGTGTTACAGCAGAGGCAGGAGGATAGCAAGCTCAGGACCAGCCTGGGAACATGGCGAACCTGTGTTACTACTTCCAGCCCCCCCACACCCAAAAAGAAAAGCTTTTGCCTCCACTCCCTTTGCCTCCAACATTCTTGCTGCTTTGGAAGCCCAGAGAGCTGACGGTGAGCGCCCGTGGGCTCTGCGCTCTGCCCGTGGCTGCCTCTCATCCACAGGAGCCTCCCCGACCCGGCACTGCCAGCTTACCACATTGCTCACGAGGCATGCAGAGACAGCGCACGGTATCACGCTCCACCTGATGAGACCATCTCCCTGGTCACCATATCTCTCCCTGTGTTCTGCATCTCCCAGGGAGAGGACCCCAATACAGACAAGATGACTGAGATCTAAAACCAAGGATAAGGGACTGCATACTCCCTACACAACTGAGGCACAATGGCCATTGTCTGGCCCCTGATCTGGGGAAGGAAGAAGATTAGGCTGTCTCAACCTCCTCTAGAGTTAGCCTCTATGAGGCCTCTAAATACAGCCCCCAATGCTGAGCAACCCTGATCACCTGTGAACAGAGTGGGCTAGGCCTAGTTCTACCACAGAAAAGACTGGAGGGGAGTTGAGGGAAGGCAGTAAGGGGGAACCAACAAGAACAAGAATGGGGCCGGGCGCTGGTGGCTCACACCTGTAATCCTAACTACTCAGGAAGCTGAGATCTGAGGATCATAGTTCAAAGCCAGCCTGGGCAGCAAAGACAGTAGGACTCTTATCTCCAGTTATCCACCAGAAAACAGGATGCAATGCAGAGCTATGGCTCAAAGTGCTAGAGCAGTAGACTTAAGAAAAAAAAAAAAAAGAGTTCAGAGATAGTGCCCAGGCCCTGAGTTCAAGCCCAAAGACCAGCAAAAATTAATAATAATAATAATTCTTACTATGTGTGGAACTTTAATAATAATCTTCATAATAAAATCAAGTGGCTTCCTGATGGCTAATAGGTAACAGAGCTATTACTCAAACGTAGGCCTTCCTACAGTGCACCCAAAGCCCACAGACTTAATCCCCAACAACTTCCCTCTTCATGCCTCAGTTTTCCTGCCAGCCAAGAGAGAGAGAGAGAGAGAGAGAGAGAAACAGAGAGAGACAGAGAGTGGAAAACAGAGAAAAAAAGATAAAAACATGGGCCTGATAGGCATGGTGGTTCACACCTGTAATCACAGCTACCTGCGAGGCTCAGGTAGGAGAATCACGGTGCTGGGACATCCAGACACAAGCATGAGACTCTGGAAAAATAAGTCAAACAAGAAAGGGCTGGGAGAGCTGGGAAGGTGGCTCAGTGGTAGAGCGCTTGCCTCACATGCAAGAGGCCCTGGGTTCGATTCCTCAGCACCACATAGCAGAAAAAGCCGGAAGTGGCGCTGTGGCTCAAGTGGTAGAGCGCTAGCCTTGAGCTGAAGAGCTGAGGGACAGCGCCCAGGCCCAGAGTTCAGGCCCCAGGACTGACAAAAAAAAAAAAGCAAGAGAATCCGGGAAGGTCTTACAAGAAAAAGAGGAAAAGTCTCCCTCTTGATGGGAGCCAGCCCTTTGGCCTCCAGCCGTGAGGTAGAAGCAGGAAGGAAGATGAAGAACAGGAAGGAAAGGTGGGAGCGGGCTGGGGGTCAGGTGCGGGATGGGGGAGCACCTCAGGCCTTCTCCACTACCTTCCCTTCTTCCCACAGCCGCGGCTGAGGCTGGGGGGCGGGGACTGACCAAGACACACACACACACACACACACACACACACAACCCTCGGGGCTGGCAATCACTTGGCCGTATATCAAACTTCCTATCAATAATTCTGTCTGGTTCACCTGAAGTTACCCATCTCATCTCAGGATCTGCCAAATCCTGGTAACCATTTGCTCCTTTGGTTTGCAGTCAGAGAGACAGACAGACGGACAGACAGATGGACAGACTGATGAACTGACAGACACAGACAGACAGACAGACAGACACACACACACACACACACACAGGGCACACCCCGGGAGGCAGGCCCATTGACTTCCCGGTGGTGTGGCCCAGTTGGGATGGCGGGGGGGGGGGGGGGGGGGGGGGGGGGGGGGGGGGGGAGGGGTGGGGGCGGGGGGCGGGGGGGGCCCCGGCACGAGCCGGCCAGCCGCCGGCCTTTGTGGAGGCGCTGGGCCACACGAGATGCCCCGCCCTGGCGGGGCCGGTGCCAGGCTGCCGGCCGAGCGCCCGCCCTGGCCTCTGGTGCCCAGACGGCTCCCCGGCGGCGCGGGTCAGGTTTCAACCGGTTCCACGGCTCTCCCAGCTCAGGCCCCATCCCCCGGCCAGCCGCAGCCAGGCTCCCCTGCCCTGGTCCCAGCGCCGGCCTGGGGGAGAGGCTGCAGGCCACCCCCGGGCCCACGCAGGGGTCAGGGCGGCTCCCTGCCCCGGGACTGGCCAGCCAGGCCCAGGAGCAGCGAGGAGGAAGGCCACCGCGCTCCCCCCCCCACTGTGCCAAGCTCTGCGACAGGTTATCTATCTATCCTCAGCCCCAGTAGACGGTCCCTGGCCTCCACCTGGACCCCAGGCCTACCCGCTGCGTATGAAGCCGATGGAACTGATCGGCGATGCACTGCAGCTTCCGGGCGATCTGCACCTCCACGCGGTGGCCTTCGGGGGGCTGCTGGGCTGCGGGGAAACCGGCAGGGAGTGGGAGCCGGTAGCCAGCACTGCCTGCGGACACACACACAACACGGCGGATCCGTGTCTCAGCTTCACCAGGGCCCAGCCTGCCCCAGCCTGCCCATTCTGGTCAAGACCTGGGGCTCAGAGTGAATCCTAGGGCGGGAGGGAGAGGAAGCAGCCTGCCTCTGTCAGGGCACCACGCCAAGCCTGGACAGCCTGCCCGGCCTGCCACCCCAGGGTGTAAAAGTTGATATAAGCCGGGCACTGGCGGCTCATGCCTGCAATCCTAGCTACTCAGAAGATCTGAGGATCGTGGTTCAAAGCCAGCCCGGGCAGGGAAGTCCATAAGACTCTCTTTTCCAATTACCCAGCAAAAAGCCAGAAGTGGAGTTGTGGCTCAAAGGATAGAGTACTAGCCTGGAGCAAAAAGAGCTCAGGGACAGCGCCCAGCCCCTGAGTGCAAGCCCCAGGACCAACGCAAAAAGAGTTGATGCAGGGTTTAGGAGCACAACTCAGTGGTAGCTGAGTTAAGGCCTTGCATTCGGTGATGCGCACACGCACACGCACACACACACACACACACACACACACACACACACACACACACACACACACACACACACGCTGATCCTGGCCAACCAGAAATGAAATGACCCAGCCTTCTCCTTGGTTCTCCTCCAACATGGCAGTGGTGTGTGAGTACACATGCCGGCCTTCTGTTCTTATTCCTCAAGCTACACTTGACCACAAATACTCAATCTATTATTCATTTAGCAGCAGGTTGAGAATTCTCTGGAAAAGACTGTGGAGTCCTTGGGTTGAACAAAGCAAGCGACAGACAGACAGACAGACACAGACACACACACACAGACACACACACACACAGTGTCCTCACTTCTTCAGTGCAGTAGAGAAAAGCTGGGCTCAGCACCTGAAGTTCTGGGCAGCGGCACAAAGGCGGGTAAGAGAAACCTCCCCAGGTTCCTGGCAGAGCAGCCAAGCCCCTCTCTGGAGGCTGCCCAGCCGGTCTTGGGGGCCAGAACACAAAGCTCCCCAAGGGCTGGTACCAGAGTGGCCACTAGGGGCGCCGGTGGCCCCCGCTGCTCCCTGCCTTCCCTCTGCTGGCCTTCCCCAACTTGCTCTCCGGGCCAGAACTTCTTGAGTTATTATTCCCCTTGGGGAATAACTGCAGTGTCCCCTCTGTCTGCGAGGGATGGCCTCTGAACTTTTACCCTCCCTCCACAAGCCAGTGTGCTAAAAGAAGAAAACAGACAGAATGTCTAACCCTGCCCTTTTGCCAGGGGAGGGCCTATTTCTCATAAAACAAACCATTTAAGCCCACAAATGAAGGGGTCTTGTCTGATTCAGCTTTGCAGACAGCCCCTCTGCTGGCTCGGAGCCCGGGCAGGCCCAACCTCTTCCTCTGGCTCCCCTTCCAAACACAAGAGATTCCCGAGTAACAACTTGGGGCCACCTTCTGCCTTCACGAACCTGCCAGAATGGGCTGGCTTTTTCCTTGGGTGTCACAGCGCTCTTAGCCAGCTCTTGGGCAAACCACTTACCAGGACACAGAAGACTGGCTCGGTCAGTCGAGGGACACAGAATGTCAGAGGAGATACCAGGGACTCAAAGATCCCTCTAGAAGGAGCAGAAAGCTTTGCCCTTTTGGGGGCCCTGAGTACAGGTAGGAAGCAACTGGCAGAGACGCAGAAGGTTGAAAGTCGAGGCCTCGATAACTCCCCCCACCTCCAGCTCCGCTGTGCTACTCCAATATGGGGAAGGAAATAACGGGGCAGGTTGATGGAGGGAAAGTCCCCTCTTTCCCCCCAGTCTCTACAGGGGCTAAGAGCACTCACCATAAAAGAGTCGCTGGGGCTCTTCAGTCACCCCACAGGGCAGCATGACACCCTGGCTGGGGGAGGCCGGGCTGAGGGTCTGAGTGGCCTTGTCTTCCTGGCTGGTGGGTCGAAGTCCTGGGCCACAGCAGTGGGTGAGAGGGAAGAGCTGAAGCCGGCTGAGGGGGCAGTCCAGCTGACTCTGGGCAAACAGGGTAGCAGAGAGCAGGCTCCCCGGCTGGGTCCCTGGCTCCCCGTCTTCTGCTTGGAACACATCGTCCTCCAGCTCCTCCACACACTGAGGCGGCTCCATCTCCCCTGCCAGGGAGCAAAGGAGACATGGGGATGCTGCCCCACGCAGGCCGTGTACCCAAGGACATCACGCCGCTTTCTCTTTCCTGCCCCCCTCCCGAATGGAGGGAGCCAGGTCAGCTTCTGATGGCGTTACCACCCCGAGGACAAACCATCCCCCACGGCCACGGCCACCTTCCTCCGTGCAGACTGCTTCAACATTCAGCAATCCCTGAGCCCACCAAAGCCACCTTCCCTCCACCCCCCCCCCACTCCCTACCCTGCCCCCTGTCCTCGGCTGAGCTAGGCTGCTGCTCACTAAACTCGACTCTGAGGGTCATGAGCAATCCCAGAGCCAAGATCAGGTGCTACCTGCAGCCAGGGGACCTGGGACAATATAAGAAAAGGCTAACCTGGAGAAGTGGCTATGAGGACACAGAGAAGGCCAATGACCGCCCGTCCCCTCCCCCCCCCCACTGAGGTCTTTAGATCTTCAGACCCTCCAAGCCCCCTTGTCTAGGAGGAGGTGGAGGTGGAGGAGGAGGAGGAGAAGGAGGAGGAGGAGGAAGCAAGCAATCCTGGGACAGCCAGGTTCCCTCCAAACCTGCTAAGCCCCGCCCTACGCCCATCCCATCCACACTGCTCCCCGCCCCCCTACTTGCACAACACAACAAACAGGCTTGGTGGTGTGGGAGAGTGTGTCCTGGAAGAGGGCATAAAGACTGGAGTTAGTCACTGCAGCTGCCTGTTCAGCTGTCTGTGAGCAGAGGAGAGCTGTCTGTCCACCATAGGTTGGTCCAGCCTTTGCCCATGCCCCCCCCCCTTCAATCTACTCACTCATCTTGGTGACTTCAAATCCTCCTCCCTCCAGCCTCCCATTCCTACCAGAGCTAAACTTGATGGGGACAAGGTGCCCAGCCAGGAGGAAGTGAAATCCAGCCCCCTCTCTACCTCACTCAACGCCTGGGTTTTTCAGGTTGCTGATGAGGTTCTAGGTGACGAAGAAGTTCCTCTTGCTTCACCTGACCGAGGTCAGCACTTTCTGGGGGCTGGTGACCATTCTACCCCACAGTGGGAGCTTCCATCCCAACCCCGCGCCCCCCCCCCCACCTCAGGCCAACTCTAGAAGTGGCAACCACATCAATGACTAAAGCAACGCAAGAAAGAGAAAAGTTTGTCTAGTGTCTTGTTTTTGAAGAACAAGCCCTGTGAGCGCTGAAGCCCTCACCTGTGAGGATACATTCAGAAACCCTGCCTTTGCCCCCCCAGCCCCTCCTGGCCTCTCTACCACTACCTCTCTACTGTCTGTAGAAGTGTTTCCCAAGGGGAGTGTGTGTGGAAGGACAGACAGCTTATCAACAACACACCGTGTGTTCGCCCAGGAAAGGACCAAGTGGGGTCACCTAGTTGTTTCCCCCTCTCCCTTCCAACCTCTTCCCCCACTCCCCCCTCCCAGCAACCCCAAACCTAAGAAGGGACCCTTCCAGGCCAATCACAGGCAGGAGTCATTGTCTTGCTGTTTTCTTTGAAGCTTATCACTTCCCCTCCCCCCCTCCTCCCAGTAAAGCCCCAAAGTTCAACCCTTGCCCAGTCTGGACAGTGGGGGAGGTGCGGCCGGAGGGTGTGGCGCCCGGGGCCCGGGGAGACCCCTCCCACCGCCCGAGGAACCGCAGGTGCCTCTCCCGGCCACGGGAGCCTCCGAGGGGCCGTGGGTGAGGCCAAGTGTAAAACCCTCTCCATCCTCTCCCCCCCCGCCCCCCCCACCCCCAGGCGAAGTGGCCATGTCCGTCCAGACTGGCAGGGGGAAGACGTCGCCCCGGATCGCCGCCCAGGCACGCTCGGTCCCCCGCGGAGGGCAACGGACACCCGGCGGGGGCCGGCCTCGGGGCACCGCGGGGATGCCACGCGCCCCACCCGCGGAGCGGGCGCTCCGTCCGACATGCGGGGCCTCGGGGATGCGCGCGCACGCCACACGCACACGCTCGCTCCAGACCTGGGGGACTCCAGGAGCGAGTCTCGGCCTCCGGATGGCGACGCCAGGGCTCGGCGCCAGGGTCCAGGGTGATGGGCGCTCGCGGGGGGCTGCGCGCCCGGACGCGGTCGGGGAGGAGGGGGACAGCCCCGCTGTTCTGGGGGGGGGAGAGAGAGAGGAGCCTCAGACGCCGCGGGGGAGCC